CACACACACACACACACACACACACACACACACACACACACACACACACACACACACACACACACTCACACACACACACACACTCACACACACACACACTCTCACACACACTCACACACTCTCTCACACACACTCACACACACACACACACACACACACACACACACACACACACACACACACACACGTATATTCAAAGCATTGGGGACATGATGTTCTCTTTTTCCAGATATGGAGGGAGGAGAAACTGACCTAGCCATCATTCCTCCGATGGAACACTGTATCAGAACGAAGTGGAAGAATGCAGCTATTAACTGGAATGGAACCGATCCAATTTTATAGTTGCGGGATATCTTTTAATGATTTATGTATAATTTGGGCAAAGGGTGAAATGGCATCATTGGATATGTGAGTAAAATTTTATTCCTGTTCTTTGATGTGTTATTAGTTTAGTGCTACTGTTTGTGTTCTGTATGTTCAGAAATAATGGGTATTCCTTAACTTACTTTATATGTACAGTCTGTATGTGTAAATGGAAGTACCATGTTCTGTATGTATATCATAGTAACAAAAGGAGTGAGCAGGAAAGGTAACGAGAAATATGAATATTTTTTATGTCACTGAAAAAGAGAGAGAAAAAAAGAAAAAGAAAGTAATGATAGCAATTCTTGTTTTAGGTTACTTATGGTACATAAAATAAAGGAATATCAGACCAACAAATATATGTTTTTATATGGTACACAGAAGTGACAGCTGAGGCAAAACAATCAGTAACTTTAACACAGTAATTTTGTTTTGCATCAAAAAATCAGTTCAGTAGAGTTTATTGCTCTTTTTTGCATCTGAATGTGTGTATTTTTTCAGAAATGTCTTCAAAACCAAATTACTAATAAGTAAGGTTTTTAATATTTTGAAATTGCATCTCTTTATTGTCAGGAAGTTTTTCTGTACTGTAAAATATCCTGTAAATGCATACCATTATAAGGCCTAAGATAATGAATTACTAATATATAGTGTGATATAGTGATAATCACCAAGGATATCATTTGACAAAGAGTCTCATTTATAAGACTTAAACTTCATTTTGATTCAGATATATAAAACATAGGATTTTTTGTGAAATACAGTCATTTCAGACCATTTAAGACTAGCAGTCTTTGAAGCTGTAATAGATTTCCATGATACTGGACTTGATTATTATGGTAAAGACATTTGACTTGCCTTATGAAAAAACAAAATCTGAAACATATATCCAATATGTCTGTATTCATTTAATCTTAACTGTATATGAGAGAAATCAGGAAATTTGTAGAAGTACACTGGTTAACATGTTCTGCAACAGTGATTGTGTTGTATGTACTGTACAAATTATGTGGTAAGTATCAAGACATAATTGCATTTTATACAGTGTAGTTTGGGCTAAAAATTGGGAAACTAGTAGATGTTTAGTGCTGAAATTCTCCTGTAATAGTCATGAATTAAGTAATGTTGCAAGTATTCATAGTGAAATGTTACAATGAATATTATATTTATATCTATTCATAACAGTGCCGTCCAGTCAGTGTGATCTATAGTTGTACAGTCAATTTATATCTGAACAAATTCTGGATTCTTGCTTTATAAGTGTATGAAGGAATAACTGTTTCTCATAAACACCTATTTTATTTATTTACCTCATTTCTAAGTACAGGAAAAAAGAAAAATTATGTGCCTTTTAAAAAGCTAAATAAAACATGTGAACCAATTATAAATGCAGTTTCTCATTTTCACTAATTATTTCCTTAAAATTACTTTCTTATTATTATCATCATTCCTTCATGGTAGGAATTCTAAAAAGATGCAAAAGATGGATATATTTCAGAAAGTCTGATAGACTTAAGTTTATGTCCTAGGGCACTGTCTTAGGAAATATATAACAGTATATTGTGTTTTCTCCTAGATTATTAATAAATATTAATGTTAGGAGATACCCAGGTTAGAAGAAGTTCATTGAAAGAGAGGAAAGAAAACACTGGAAAAGGCTATGGTGATTTTTATCCTGCTAATTCCAGGATGTTTATATGTCAGTTTTGTAAAACTTTAGTTGCTAGCATGGCATCTTTAAATTATATTTAAATATGTTTATGTATAGGAGAGCCATAAGTTTAGCTTCAGTAATTCCTTAGTTTGATTACAAAAGAAACCAGTCATCCCGATAACAAAAAAAGTAGGTACCTTAATTTTCTAAGTCAAAAAGACCTGCAGATAAGCATTGTTTAGGCCCTAATATAAATACTGAAAGAATATCTGAAATTCGAAAATGCTGTAGTCACTTCTGATTTATATGTCAGTTCTGTTAAAAGACAGGATTGAGTAAAACATATTGTGTAAGGTGGTTGATTCATTCTGGATTTGTGGCAGCAGAAAGGCATTCATAGCACTGTCAAAAGAGTGGTAATCACATTCATTCTTTAGCATTTCTTTAGTTATACTGATATTGAATAATTAAGGAGGTTATTAGAAGCAGTTAAACTTAGAAGTCATTCAAATGATTCTTTTCTTGGGCTTCATGCATTTGGATTAATTTGGTATTTGTGTTTGCCAGTTACATGATTTGGGATTTTCTTTATGATGCAAAATTAAGTTGATAGCAGATATAAGCCAGTGATTATAACCTAAAAGCTGATAATTATAATTAATTTTATAGGAATGTATTTACAGATATCTAATGTCAGATAATTCAGAATATATATGATATATGTTTTTATGTACTTTTGTATTCAAATAACTAAATATATCTGATTATATAACTCATTAAACTGGACAGATATTCATTTCAAGTGTATTGAGTTACAGCTTAATTCTCTCCATTCTCATTACCAACACTTGAAAATCATTAGAAAAAAAATCAAATGACATACTGATCCACCATAAATACTGGATACTGGATCTTATCCAGTTGATGCCAGTAGTGCAGTTATACATGCATGACCCACTGTAGTATAGTTTTATTAATTTGGTTTACAGAAACGTAATGCCCTGTCACCAAGGAGTCCACTACTAGGCATCTGGCCTCTCTTAAATGTTTTTGTTTTGATTGCTATATTGTCATTAAAGATAATAATAAAAGCAATAATGACAGATACTACTACTACTACTAATAATGATAATAAAGATAATAATATACAATGATAGTAACAGATAATAATGAGAGAAACACACCTTTTTTTTCTACAAATTCAAGGACTGGGGTAACCATATGAGATTGTTTAAGCACCTGTGACTATGCTGTGTGTAAAACAAAAGTGATAAAGTAAGAGTACAGTGGACATGAACCTGATATCAGTGGGTTAACATCTAAAATTATCTGTATTTGAAGAGATAATCATGAAAGACACAAGTTTATTTAATAATTAGATCTTCAGATATGCCTTTCCATTAACCAAATAAAGCTGTCATCTATCTAGAATACTAATAATCATTATTTTATTCTTTCTGTATCTAATGTCTCAGAATACAGTGGCTTCGTGATTAGTGTATGCAGCTAACAGTCATGGACATTGTCTTACAGTGCAGGAGTTAGGTAAGTGCGGAGTTAAACTGGTAAGCAAGACAGGATGTCCACTAGGTTTTTCAGAAAAGAATTTGCTTGTATTTTTTTACTCTCAGTGTATTCTTCTTTATTGATGGCCAAATGTTGCTGCTTTAGATGTTAATGAGGATTTTCTGCTATATTAAGAAATCAAGAAGAAAATTACAATTATTTATTATAGTGTTACAAAAGCATCATAATTACATGGTCAAAATAGTAGTAGGCTAAAACATAAGCTACTTCCAAGTAATACTCTTCTCTAAATGAAATATAAACATTAGTTGGACTCTACTCTCCTTATATAAAAAAAACTAATCTTCTGAATTCCAAACCATTAGAAATGACAAAAGCTTTTTTTTTTGTTAAGAATTATGAAATAATGAAAGACCTTGATATCCTGCATCCTTATAAAGAAAGAAATAAGTAAGAGTAGAGATGACAATGTGAAATACAAGTCATTATATGGAAATGATATGGTAGGAGAAATTAGAGCCGGCTCATGGTGCATAAATGATATACAATTTATGCCTATGAATCCAGCCATATTTTTATTAGTTAATGGGTCCCTGGTATTTCAGAGATACTGTAATTTATTCATGTGATGGAAGCATATGAAGATGAAAGTGATATTGATGATGGTAGATTAAGTTAGTAATATTAATGACCATAAATGCTTTGACATTAGTTAGTAAGAATTGGACATTTTAAAAACAGCATACCTTTCTAAACAATGCCATATCATTCCTGACATAAATGTAAAAAAAATAGTTTTTCTGCTTAAAAATGAACGTACCATTAATACTCCGAAGATAGTCTATTTTGTGCATGCATTTTTTTGTCTCTATCTGAATAACACACCAACTTTAGTGACACTGAACCTGTGTGTGTGCATGTGTGTGCACTTGTATGTGTGCACTTGTGTGTGTGTTTGGGTGTGCATGTGCTTGTGTGCGTGCATGCTTGTGTGCACGTGTATGTGCATGTGCTTTTGTGCGTGCATGCATGTTCTTGTGTGTGCAAGTGCTTGTGCATGTGTGCTTGCGTGCTTCCATGTGTGTGTGTGCTTGCACACTTGCGTGTGTGGGCTTGCATGTGTGTGTCCTTCCATATGTGCACTTGCATGCACACACACACACGTACGTACGTACGTACGTGTGTGTGTGTGTGTGTGTGTGTGTGTGTGTGTGTGTGTGTGTGTGTGTGTGTGTGTGTGTGTGTGTGTGTGTGTGTGTGTGTGTGTGTGTGTGTAAATTTGAAAAAAAAGTTTTTTTTTTTTGTTTATTGATTATAATTGTTAATAAAAAAATCTATCATTTACCAGCACCATTACTGCATGATAGACAAAAAAGTGAACTAATGCCTTGTCTTTTCTTTTTATACAAACCAGATATCATATATCACAATTGGAATAAATTCAAGATGGCAACAGTTATGAAATATTCCTTTATTGAAAAAGGAGACCTTCTGAAGTCATAAAGAGGATGTTTTGCTGATAGTTCAACTTTTGTAGACAAGAACTGTGAACTATATACAGTACAGTCAGTGATTAACTTATACCTATGACAGTAACAACTGAAAAAAAATCAGAGCTTATTCAATAATTCTCACAAACTGGGCCATGTCTATGACAACATTTGCACTTGAGTGAGGTTATGGCAGTGAAGCTTTGGAAGCTGGAAAATCATGAATCACATAAAAGACTAAGGTAAATTATAACCATTCTTGAAGCTTTATTTGCTGCTTAGAATGAAGTGCAGAATGTCACAAAAGTGCTTACTCTGAAAATAAGAACAACTGATTACTAAGAACTATGCCACAGTGTGAGATAAGTTATGAACATCTATATTTTTGTGAATAGTACAGTGCAAGGTAAACACATCTTCAATGTGTAACTATTATTCATAATGTACATTTAAAGTAAAAACTAGAATAACAAATTTTTTCATGGCACTCAGTGGTCTTTGTAAGGAATAATTACTTTCTGTTCAATAGTTATCTACAGATAACAATGATGAAGTGAAAAACTGACATATTAATGATACTGATTCTGACAATGTTAATGGTCTAGCCAGTAAAAGTTAAAGAACACATTTGGAAGTATAAAAATCTTTGCACCTCATTCCACTCATTATAAATCATTCTTGAAGCATAGTTTTGGAGGGAGAGACAAAAAATACCAGGCATGGAAATTTCATTGACAGAAGAACTACTTTACTGTCTTTAAACACTTTAAAATAGTAAAAATGTAATCAGTTTAACTCTCCTTTAGTACTTTCACTTTTAAAGAACTACTGTAACATGGCTTTATAGAAGTATTACAAAGTCTATATCCAAGTTACCTCTTCTGAAAGCTTGTTAAATGGGAAACCTAAGTCTCTCTTTGTCCTCTGAGTGATTTCAGAGAATCTTCGCAGTGGATGGATGTCCTTATTTCCATCTGAATTTTTAAGCTGTCGTGCACGTAACTGTTGAGCTCTCAATTTCAGTGCTCTTACTCTTGCTGCTCTGTCCTCAATGATTTGCCTGGGAGACAGAGTTGTTGTTGTTGATGGTGGTGTCTGGGTAGTTTCTAAAGGATTTACAACTGGTGATGTGTCTGGTCTCTCAATGGTGTGGTAATTCTGATTATTTTTTCTGTCTCCTGACTTGTGCTTTCTCTTCTTATCAGTGGTGCTCTTCTTCTTGCCTTTCTTTGTGTGGGTATGTTTTTGTCTTTTGTTTTTCTTGTCATGTTCCTCCTGTAAAGAGTCCGATCTTCCTTCTTCATGGTGACTATGGTCCGAGTCACTCTGGACATTATTTTTCTTAGATCGCCGCTTGTACCTGGCTCCATCCTTGTAATAGTCATAGTACTCGAACTCTGGATCCTCTTCATCTTCATACTCATATTCATCATATTCATAGACATAATCATCATAATTTTCATACTCATAGTCATAAGGCGTAGCTCCATCAGTAGAAGTACTACTAGCTTCTGTTGTAGTATCACCATCTGTACTTGAATCCTCTACACCAGGAAGGAATGGTGCTTCTGTTCTTGAGGCCGTGTCTTCTGGAACTCTTGTGCCAGTAGTGTCTACTCTTGTGCCAGTAGTGTCTACTTCCACTGGGAATGTTATGGTTGAGTCAGGAATGGGAGGAACTTGATTGGAAGAGGAAGTGGTTCCATCAAGGGTTGGAAGCACTGAAGAAACTAAGCCATTCAGGTGATCAACCTGTGGGGGAAACAGAGATTCAAACATGTTCTTTTTTTCATACTTGCTTCAAGATGAATAATATATATATAGAGCCTCATACCTGTTTGTACAATTCATCGGCTGTTCCTCCATATGGAGCTGATCCAGAACTTGGATTGTAAGGTGAATCTGGATGCCCTGGTAAAAGATGATCTTCACCAGCTAAGCCTGAAAATAAAATGAAATGTAGCATATTCCTGTCACATAGGAAGGAGGAAAAATATCAGACTTTAGAGAGCTATGTATGATGGTCTATACTTCAAGAAGACATTATTTTTAATTCATGCAATACATCACAGATATATATATCTTCTAGTTTGTGTTGAGGTAATTAATACTTTGACAAAAATAGAAAGTCCTACAACAGTGCCATAATATTCCCAAACATAACAACTGGACTATTCACATCACATGCCTTGATACACCAACTGTGTGATCCAGAGAAAAGACAGCTACAATCGAACAGACAAAGTCACAAAATGTCAAGAAGATAACAGTAACACTATGGTAACCAAACAACTTGACCCAACACTTTGCCTCCTCCTGTGCTGCAGTAGGTGTTGTCAGAAAGTAAATTTGTAGTTCTACCTTCATATGGTAATTAAACAAAGTATTGACCTTCAAATAAACATCTGCCTTCAGACACACAATTCTGAGGTTTATGGTCCTGTCTTTCAAAATCAAATACATAAATGGAGGCACTGGATTAGAGATTTTCTTTAATAAAATATGTAGTAGAGTGATAGGTAATGACTGCACTGTGATGTACTATAAAGGATAATAACTATTAATAGATATTATAAGGTCCTGAGAACAGTATTCACTCTTTGTGTCTGAATGTAATGTATTCTTCATAAAATTAGGAAAAATATTGTTTTTGGTTAAAAGATACATACAAACAATATCTGACATTAATAGATTAATAAAGATATCCCTATGTTTTATCTGCAAATGGATGCTTTGAACTAATTCTAGACTGTAATTTAAGTTGTTTGTTATGAAAAAAGAACTGGTGCTTTGTATTTCATTTTGTTGATGGAGGATGCAAACTACAAAATAGCAAATCATACCCAACACTGACTACTGAAAATATAATAAACTACTATTTACTGAAAACCAGGGAAAATTGATACCACCTCTATCTATATGGAAGTTTTTCTACTTCATTTGTTCTTACCTTGAAAAATGAGACTGCATGAACTAAGCCCTCATGCATCTTGATATGGTTACATTTCATAATTTTGCTTTTGCATGCAACAAATTAGGATTTGTTGGAAGAGTGAATAAGAAACATTGAATTCTTTCCATCATCCCCACTTTAAATGTCTGAATGAATGGGGATGTAGAGCTTGTCATGAAAATAATAGTGTTTATGATAAAACATCCTTTTTTATGCATTTGCTTTCTTTTTAGATTGTATAATGCATTGTTATCATATCATAATTTCTTCCTTTTGGTTTGATAGAACATTCCATCAGTGATGGGTTAAATTGTTTGTAAAATTCAGCACATTCAGTATTTATTGATAGGTTAGCACACAAATGACTGAGGTATGACAGACAAGAGTGATAACTCAGGAAATGAACAAGATCATGTTCAAGCTGTGTCAGTTTTAGTGTCTGACAAAACTAAAGCTGTCTACATTCTGTTAATGAGTCAGTAAAAAAAAAAAAAAATTAAGTAATGCAGCAGTTCAAGACTAAACACACAAAGTAAACACATAAAAACTAGAAACTAACAAAAACAGTCATTAAACATGTAATTTTCTCATTCAGATTACATAATCTGTTCATTAGATGAGATCATATTACCATCCAAACAAAATATTTGACGGCACTCTTTTTTGTCTTCTTAAGAAGGAATATCAGAAAACATACTAAGCCTAACATTTCCATAAGAACCATAACCAAAACAATGTAAACAATTGTGTCTGACTGACACATCTAATGTGACACTACTTGAGCATTGAAATACAAGGAACTTTTGAACAGGTGTTAATGACTAATGTCAGTGTCAACAACAAGCATCAGTAGGCAGCTATTGGTGGATGTCCTGACTCCACAATTTATGGAAGTACTGAGGGCAGTTTTGAACATGTTTGTTCTATTATAGGAGAAAGGCAACTGCCAGACATGAGATGTGAGTTTGTGTGGACTGTGGTGGTTTGGATGTGTCTGGTCCCTCTCCTCCGCTGCTCCCGCCCCTTGCCCTTAGGTCCATTCCCCCTTGGGTGGTAGTAAGGGCTGTATGAGCCTTAGGTAGTCTGTGGCCTGCCACTGGCCTGCAACACACGGGAAAGCGCTGCATTAGTCTTTGGCAGGAAGGGCGGGAGCTGCTGATTGTGGCTCACAAGACCATTGAGGGATATTTATATCACATGAATGCAGTGGCTCTGGCATCTTCTGTAGCAAGGGATTGAAAAGCTAATGGAGCCAACTGTTCCAAGGATCAAGGGAATGGGAGGTCCATTCTCCTAACTTACAAAATGTTACAGATTCTGATTTCTACATTTGCAATATAATCAGATGAAGTGTGTTTACTGTTTACCTCAACAAAAGTCCATGGAGATGCTGGGCAGTGTCAACATCTCCAGCACTGCCTCACCAGGAGGTGTGAACCGCTCAACAAGTTAGTGTGAAGTTAGCTCAAGATAAGCCAAGGTGAGGTAGCAGGGTTACCCTCGCTTCACCTGCAACTTAGTATCGATTTACTAGTTGGAAAAGTTTGGTTGCGTCTAAGCAAGAGAACGGTTAAAGTTGTACTGTATGTGATCAAGTCCATACATTCTGTAGTGAAGGGCTTGAAAAATGTTGTAGACACTCATGCATAAGAACTGGTTACCATTTGGAAGTTGCCTATTGATCCTTGAATAATCCTAAATGATGCAGATATTCAATGGGATCGTGTTATCTTCTCATAAAGGTTCTGAGGTAAATGCAGTAGGAAATCATATATCAAGTTGAACAGGTATTGGAAAAACAGGAAAGATACATAGAGGCATAATCTAGTAATTTTAGTAAATCTGGTTAGTCTACATGTACAGTCAAAGGTAAATGTCTAAAGTCTAAAGTAAAAAAAATCTTAAAAGAAAGTCACAGAAATATAATAATTTTCACAGCAAGTGCAGTACACAATAATCATCTGATCACACTCAAAAAGACTCAAAAATATTATAATGAATAAATAAACAGGG